ATAATCGAAGTATAAATAGATCGAACCGTCTATAACGGACGATTGATATCCATTTTGTTCTATGCGCAGAACATATGCGCTTTTCACACACAGTATGTATGTTACGCGTCTAATATGTTTAGTACATTCCGGATCATATATTCCGGATGATTTTGAAAACATTTCGTGTCCTTTTGTGTCTCACTTTTTCAAAACATCAAATAAATACGTTATTCTTATGGTTTATACATATACATACTTTATAAACAATTTGAAAGTGACCGATAGCGCAAGTATATAACTAGCATGCGTGATATTTTTCGGCATATAGTGAGGTTATATGGTTATGGACAAAAGTACTGTAAAATGTAAGTATTTTATAATATTAACTTACTAATTTAATTTTAATCTAATAAATTTGAATATGATACTAAATAGAATTCTTAAAAAAATTAAATTTTTACTTTATATTTTTAATATTTTATAATTTTTTAACTTTATTTTTATATTATCAAATTGCTAACTAAAACTTTTATATTTTTATTACACATGAATCAATATTTGAATTTCAATTCAAATCAATTCAAATTTTTAAATTCTAATATACTTCAACATTATTTTTATATTTGAAATTTTAAAAATCTATATTTTTAATTTCAAATAAAAAATTGTTTCTTATAATCAAATAATGTAAATTATATATGAATTCTCAAGTATAGCATATTTTATCTTTTTTCTTTACATTCATGTAAACATTCACAAATATTCATAATTCAATCATTCTTTCTTTTTATATTTTTTTAAAAATTGCTCTTTCTGTTTTCATAGATCAATCTCAAAGACGATGGATTGTATTTATCTGCGCAAAATTCTGTGGAGAAGACGTTCTGTACTCTCTCTCTTTCTCTCTGCTCTCGTGCAACGTGATTTACAGCAAGTTTTCAACAGAGCTCGTGAACAATGGCGATATCTACGATAATAAATGCAGCGTCGGTAAGTTTATAAAAATTTTACGAAAGTTATCAACTCGTTTATAAACTTAGTCGACTTAATTTTAATCAAATGCTAATAAAAAATATTCGACTGTTGGCAAATAAATCGTGTACATGTAGAAAGAGAGAAAAGAATTTTTCATTGAAACGAAATGAGAAAATAATATGGAAGAGAAAATGCTTTCGTGGTGTAAATATGTTTGGGATGAATAAAAAATTATTCAACGGTGGAAAGTACATTTCCATATATTAATAATAAACTTTCAATGTTGCGAAGAAAAGCATAATAATTTGCTCTTTTTAGTTTGCGCGCATTGAATATATCTACATATAAATATTACATAAACGTAAAAAAAAAAAAAAGAAAATGAGTTTCGAATTGAAAAAATAAATTGTTAAATAAAAATGTTTTATTTCTATTCGCTAATAAATCTTCCATTTCTAGCTGTAGTGTTCTGTTTGCTAAAAAAAAGTAGCATCGAAGCAGAAATTCAGATTTCAATATTACCAAACTTGTTAACGGGATTTTTTTCAAAAACTCTCGATGAGATTTATACAATATACATGTATACATCGTCTTTGAAGTTTGAGTATTAATTTATTTTACAAGCCATTATCAATTTTATAACATTTCACGTAATATTCTTTTCTCTCTTGAACTATGTGTAAATATCAATACGTATATATATATCCAAAAATATCCAAAAATATTTTGGATATTTCTCGCACAATTCACAAATTAATAATTGTAATATGATTTTTCCTGTTATTTGAATTTAATTCTTTCAAATTACATTTAAAAATTTAATTTTTTAATTTTTAAGTAAAATTTTCAGAAAATTTTGAAAATTTTTATTGTTTTTATATTATATATATATTTATATATTTGAAATTTATTACGTATACATTTTTACGTATATTTACATTTTATATCTTTTCGTATTAATTTTGATTCGAGATTCTTCATCGAATATTAAAAATATATTCTCTCTGTTCTTCATCACGAATGCATTTGATATGTACATTTAATTATTATTCACGTAAATATTGTTACCGTCTATTCTACAATTCAAATTAAAATTTGAATTTGTGCACACATTTTAAAAAATGTAGTTCTTCTCGCGCTTTTAAAATACGATTCATAAACGAATCGAAAAATACGAAAAATTTATAATCATTAAATGACATAAAATTGTATAAAAATTTACAATCAACCGGAGAAATCATCGACAATTTATTCAAATATTGCGCACGGCAATACATCTTAAAATTAAAGCCAATTTTTAAAAATGAATGCGATACCAAAAGAAAAAAAGATGCGATACGAAAAGAAATCAATATATCCAATTCATCAACCATTAATCCTAACGTTATTTTAAATTTTAACTATATACCGTTCTTGATCATCTCTATTTCGACAATATTCGAGATAACAAATTTTTCAAACATAATTTCGAAAATTTAATGTACATCAAAACATCGATGAAAAATATCGCGAAAATTTTCACGATTTTCTCGCGATTCCGTTAATACACTATACACGAAACGACGTTATTCCGATCCGCGTGTTCGAGCGGATCGGCACACCGTGATTACGTTTTCCGCGGTCGCCATACGAAATTTTAACGATCGGCCACGCTAACGACGAAAAATATGTTATCGAGCTCCCCCATTCGGTGTTTTAATTTCGCCGGTAATTCCCATCGCTTCGATCCGCGAGCAATTAACTGCAACGCAGCAGTGGTCCCCGCAGTTTCTGTCTGCGGTGCAGAGAGCATCTGCGGCCGAGGGGGGAGGTTATCGCCGATCCTCTGATGCCTCCAACAATGACTCCGCCTCCGACAGAGGCCGCGACAACGAGAACTCGGCCGACATAAATTCGGGTTGACCGCAACGCAAGTGTCGCCATTATCGCGCCACTTGCCACTAACCGGGATTAATATTCCGGCCGGGCTAATAACCAAAGACATTCGTGTGCATTCGTCGCGCGGGCCGGAAACTGCCAACTCTGGAATTTGAACGCGGGATGCGTGCAAATTAAGTACTTAAATTAGAAGAGTATAGCGATTTTTTTTACAATGCTCGAGAGAAATTGTAATATTTTGATTTGAATTTCGATGATGTTATACGTTTGAATTATTCGTGAATGGTTGATGGGATGGAAGTCGCGAAATTTGTATCGAAGTATGATTCAATTTGATGAATATAATTGGATGATATGATATTGATGTAATAGTTTGATTATCGAGAGTATGAATGTTTAATTACGCGATTTAACTCGAAATATGTTTTCTTATTTAATATTTGTAGCTAATCCAGTTTTGCTAATAAAAGGTAAGATATTTATTTCTTTTATTTATTCTATCAATCTTTTTCCTCGTTTGAATCTTTCCTCTCGTTTAAATCTTTCCTTTATGATAAATGTATCTATATGCAATTGCAATATATTTTAAACGATATTCGACAAGATAAACTGCATACGTTCGTGCAACTTTATATATTTTTCATAAAATAATAAAATAATGAAAGAGAAGAGTAATCTTAAGTATTTATCAATCTTAATATTTCAACGCTTCCCGTGTTTATTTTCGAATTTTTAAGTTACTTATAACATATAAACATATCAACAGTCTGTTGGTATACAAAAACTCGTTCGCAAAAACACGTTCATCGAATAAATTTAAACGTTACGCCAAGATCTTTAGAAAGCATAGAGACTCATAATGAGCGCTGTTCCTTTGCTTCCGGTGAGAGGCGGCAAATCTTGTTGACCAAGACCATCCATGTTTCATCATGTTTCTGAGACGAGCATAGTAAAGTTGAGTCATTAAACTTGACCCGATATTTCGCAGCCGAGGTTGCGCTTTCAGCCTCACTTATGCAGCACAACATTGTAATGCGCCATGTACATGCTTGTTTATATTCCGTATTATACGCACGAATAACGTTGACGATGCGTGGCATTAATACTAGGTCGCGTGAAATATTTTACGCTCGGCGTGCATGAAAGATGTTGGGTTGAGTGTGCCTCGAACATCTGGTAAAGCGTGTGATTAATGATTTTGTAACGAAGTCGAGCGAAGTTCCGTAGAACCTAAACGTTCGTTATCTTGGATGTTAGGTCATGGATTATTTGAGATTATTGTAATACTTGCGGTCTTGGAATATAGCGCGGTTTCCGGGGCCAAGAAATTCGAGGAATAGAAATTAAACGTGGAACGTAGATCCGTGATACACTTTCAGAGAATATATTTAGAATTTATGGATTAGGAAAAATACAATTCATTAATAAGTATATAACAAACGAGTTACTAAATTAAATAAATAAAAAGTCTAACATAAGTGATTTTATAAGTCGAGTATGACGTATAAGTAAATTTGGTTCAAGAAGGCGATTAAATAGATCTTTGCGTGAAAATGATTAATCGAGATCAAAGGTGGCGACAACTTAAGATCAAAGATGGACTGCAGGAGAATAGAACAGCTTTGATTCAAAGGGATTGGAACGGATAATACGTGACACGAGCGAACACAAGTACAATTAACCCTAAATCAAACAGTATGTAGACATTACACCGAAGGAACACAAATAATGTGGGTGGGCAAGTAGGTAGGATACTCAACCAACATCTCGAAATATTTGAAGGAATCGACCGGATCCTTGGATCTTGAGATGATGTATGCAGGATTCAGGTCATCCACATTGAATCCCTTGGAATGATCTAAATTGACTTCGTTGGCACTGCAGCTCGTCTGTATTAAATCCTTCGGGTTTAGAATGATGTATCGTGTACAAGGTCGTTTGTACCTATTATGTGAAGTCCACAAGATTATCCAGGGTACATCGAGTTTTTTAAATTGATGGTGAATTGTTTCTCTCGTATCCAGATATATTGAATCGGTCGTGCATTCGAATAGTGATAAAAAAAATTTTTTTTACAACGATCAAGAATTATTATAGAAAATCAATATATTTTATTCGTTAAAATAATCATTTCTTTAGTGATATATTATTAGATAATTCTTTAGGACAAATTTTATTTATCTTGTTCAAAATTAAAATTCTACTCGCTGGACACGTAAAGATTAGCTTCTCTAAATATAAAAATATTTATAAATTAATTTAACACGTCATATTAAAAAAAAAAAAAACAAAATATAGAGATTAATATTGTGTTGCGCTCGGCAAAACTGATAAACTAAATCGTAGTCGCGTGCCACCGTGCAATGACAATGCATCGTCGAGTCAAACGAATCGAACGTGTGTCCGAACTCTCGTGCTATTAATTTCTCATCGGAGTAAATGAAATACGCGTTGCATTCGACAGAACATAATTTACGGATTGGAATTAATGCGCCTCGCGAAAGCTAAGGTCCCAGACCTTTGTTATTTAATCGCGCTACATCATTTCCACGCTAATAGATTTCACCTTCGACGTTTCATTTCGGATCAGATCATTTGCATTCATACGCGTGCGCCACCGTGTATAACTCACGACGTTACACGTTCATTTTCTTTCCTCCGCGAGAATTCACCTCGGAATACACGTTCGATCGAACACAACACGCTCGATCGATATTGTTCCATTACACCAATAATTACGTTCGATCGTTGTTTCGTTTGTTTGTCGTGTAGTACAGAATTGTTCGAGCATCGTACGAAATGTCGATGCACCTTGAATTTTTAATTTGATACGCGTTACGATACTTGTCGTCGTCGTAAAAATTGAAAATTAATGGTAAAATGAATTTTGATGGAATAGAAATTGAAAAAGAGAGTGAACTTTTGAATATAATTTAATCAGAATGTTTTTTGAAATGTGGTTACAGATGACAGAGAAGGAAAATTTCGTTATGTGTAGAGTAAATTTTTGTAATTGCTTGGAAACTGGAAGGTATTTTTAACGAGTTTTTAATAAAAAACATTTTTATTATTAAACTTACAGGTTTATAAAAATTCGTCAAATGAGAAAGTTTTATTTAAAATTATGAATTATCCGTTTTTTTCTTATATAAAAAAAATTTTATCATTATTGTTGTTCTTTTTTCCCAACCAATATGCCGTACGGATATAGATAAACATGGTTATAGATTTCGAGAAAATTTCATTTATCCGATATTACTTTTATCGATTATTTACAGGATCGTGTAATAATTCATCGGAAAATTTTATCGGGTAAAATCGTACGCCGTTCATATTTATTTCGCTGTTTGTTCAAAGCGTTTGGAAATCGTCCAATTTCAACAAGCGCCGCAACATTGCAGATTTGTACAATGGCGTTACAGGCCACGTATGTATTTTGTTAGTCTAGTTCGAAATTCTGATAAATGGTTATTCGATGAACGTGAATACAATCTGTCTCTGCATTTCATCCCTCAATTTTTCCTCCTCTTCACTCTTTGTTAAAGCAACGTAGATATTTCGCAAGATACAATTTTGTGTGAAACGAAAGTTGAGAGGGGAGTTGTATATACGTGAAATACGTATAATTTATTCAATAATTGTGTGCACATTCTTGAATATGTAAATCATAAAATAATATTGTAAAATACAAGGATGCAAATAATTTGAATAAACATTAAGAAAATACCCAATTAGCGATGTTCAGGCAAGAAACGAATATAATATTTTTTTTGGTATATAAACGTTCTTCTTTTATTTAATTAAATTTTACGATTTTTTTTTAATTCAAACGATTTCTATAATTTTACCTAATTAAGATCGGGAATTTAAACGTTTCGTTGGATTTTGTAAAATTGAAGAAAAGCTTTTTAATAAAATCCTCCACCAATTACCAAATCAATTTTCCCAAAATTTCAATAAATCATAAAATCCGCAAGATTCGACACCATTTATCAAGCGAATAGCCAGTTAAGTCGGGCAAATCACGACAATGGGAGAGCGCAGTCGCGCGGAAAGCAAAGCACAAAGTTCTCTATTACTGACGCGAACTCGAAAAGTGATAAAAATCATTCTTTTTCTCCCGTTTTGTTTTCTAGAAACGATCGAGCGAACGAATTTATACACCGATTCGACGATAAACTATTAAATCCATTCCCTGACAATCGAATGTCGAGAGTTTGTGCAACGTTACCCGCCGTTTTGTCCGAACAAATTTGACGTAGATCGTTGCACCCGGACAGATTTAACAAGTTCTCGAATGGCTCGCCAAGTCCATGAATAACACTCGCGAACAATCGGTCATGATTTAAGCTTTATAACTCGGATATCCGTGGGATTACCGTGATGCCGGCTTTCATAAATTTCAGCCTGAGTTATGGACGTATTTTCCTGTAACAATCGTGGATCGAAAACACGGTTGCGCCGCTAGCGTCGAAGTTTTCGAGTTGGATATAAATTTGGAATAATTTTGTAATAATAATGGGGCGACGAGGTGAATAAGGTCGTTTATAGTGATATGTTTCTTGTTTTAAACTAGTATGCAAATGTTTGAATTGGGAGAATTATCGTGCGATATTTATCAAAATATATGAATTTAATCTGTGCCTGCATTGATACGGTGTTAATAATATAATACTTAATAATTTTATTGTTAATAATATAAATTGTAAATTGTGTTTTCCATGATTGATATTTAAATAAGTTATACTTTTTATAATAGAAAGTAGTAGAGAAATGATGATCGATTACATTTAACACGATATTATTGAAAATAATTGATAAATATACTATAAGTATCGTATATTTTTGATTATATTCTAAATATACGAATAAATTTAAACGAAAAATTTATTTTAGGATCCTATAAGTAGTGCCGTCATAAAATATTATTCATAAATGGCCCATTAAAAACAATTCATGTCGTTCCAGGCACGCTATAACCCGTGTCGTGGCACGCAAAATTTGCGTGTATCCGATACACACTTGTAAATTCGCTACAACTCGCCCCGTTTCGTGCCCCGGGCTCGCAAACACGTGTTACATTTATTCCTTAAAAGCGAATATAACGGGAGAAAGCGATAGCATAGTTTACCAGAGGCATATGCATGAGATAGGCGAGCGGTGTGCACGTTGCACCAGCGTGAATGACGTTTGCAAGCAGTTATCCAAATTTACATTTCATCGATACGACACCGGTAACTCGCTGTATCTGAAGTAGTTCCTCCGGAAATACGGTTAACCACTAGCTGTATCAATGTTGCCAGACATGGTAATTAATTGAGATCGACTTATATGGAATGACGAGAATGACAATCCTCTGTATTATCTTCGTGCAATTTTATTCGTATCTGAAATGTGATACCGGTTGATGTTTATGGAACATATCGTTCCTTCGAGGATTGATACATTTGTTACGAATTTTACGTCCAATATTCGGTTTTTTCAAAAAAAAAAAAAAAAAGGATAAG